TTGTGTTCTCTAAAGGCAAAAATCGACAGTGGAACAGTAACATCTGCACAATCTAGCTTCCAGCACCTTCCTCCTATTCTGCTTCTCGTCTCAAAAAACTAAATAGGACAAAATTGTCAAATAATTTCACACTTTTAAAAAATCAAACCTCATCGAAAAAAAGACTCTTTGAAAAGGAAAAACTTAAGTACAGTTAAAAGAATGCAAAATTTCACTCTTTCCTTTAATACGAAAAATGTTGACCAATTTGTGTGCAAAATATCAACACTGGTTTTTGTGAGTCTTACAGGTCATGCTACATTTATGAGATTATGAGAGAAGGAGGAGGAAGATCTGATGTTGTCCACCTGATCTGCAAAAGTCACTGGTCCCTCCAGAGGACATGGCTGCCACAGCACACAGACGATGAGAGAGAGAGAGAGAGAGGGGGGGGGGGGAGAGAGAGAGAGAGAGAGAGAGAGAGAGAGAGAGAGAGAGAGAGAGAGAGAGAGAGAGAGAGAGAGAGAGAGAGAGAGACAGACAGAGGGAGATACATAATGCATGTACAGTTGGGCACAGATAACATGAACATGATGGAAAGCTCCAAATCATGGAAAGCTCGTACGATTTGCCATTCCCAGACTGATATCTCTTTAATTTTTCTTCATCAGTTAACCCGCATTATGGATGTGCCCAACACATTTGACAATCCCCGACGTGTCTGAGTTATCCATGCCCAACTGTATGTGTACATAAAATATAAAATGAGGAAGGAATAAATAGAGTGAGTTCTTGGCACTGACTACACACAGTGTGAGTGGCATGCAGGGCCTGAGGGCGACGCGACTCGCTCAAAGGCAGATGTTACAGCACATAGAGAAACTCAATACGAGTCCACTGCTCCTTCACGACTCCATCTTGCACTACAGTATTCTAGAGAACTACTCTCCGGACAAGAGGAGTCTTCCTTCCTCTGAATCACTGAATGATCAGTAGTTCTTTATGAGATTTTGCTGTCGAAAAAAAAATCCACTGCACGCAACCCCAATCTTTGACCTCTGAGAGAGTCGCGTCACCTCCACACCCCATCACCTTTAACCCCTCCCCTGCCACACTCGTCCGTGGTCCCTTCGCACAGACAAACAGTCTCAGGCCAAGCAGAAAAAGGGTTAAACGTGACAACTCAACGAAAAGCGAAATAACAATAGACATACATCACAAAGTGAAAAGTGAAAAATACTTTGCAGATGAGAAGAAAAAAAACCCCAATAGTAAGTATAACAAAAGAATGAATTCAAAGAGAGTAGCCGGCGGACAGCTATGGCACGGGGATGTATAAGGCAGGACCAGACCATCTCCCTGCTGGTCGAAAACGTGGATCATCGTCATTATCATCATCATCATTATTATAGTGTGAGCTCCAGCCAGTGGACCAAAGTTGTAGTCAGCAACAAGTACACACGCCCAGCCAGAGTCACAAACAATACCTACATCCTCAGACAAAACAACACAGTTCTTTCTTCCGAGTTATTTGTCAAAAATTCACATGCAATATGTACATTGTAAGATCCTTTGACTTTGTCCCCAAAAATACACACCTTTTTCCTTTGAGATACTAATAAAAATCTGGACTTCTAGAAATTTAATTTTCCTATAAGGAAGAAAAAGTTTGTTGCACAAAAATTTCCATGGGTTCTCCCTGTGTATATATATATATATATCAGAGACAGCTTGAACCATTACAAAAAAGAGGCACATCTTTTTTCAGGACATCTTTTTACACCTGGCAGATCAGCAATCTCCCTCAAAGTTAGAAAAATGTTGACATTTTAAAAAGGCCAAGATTTCAACTCACAACCAAGTAAGTAATGACATTTTTAAATTGAAGCTAAGGCAAAAATATTTCCTGCCTCCTCCCGCACTGAACGCTCAGTAGGCACGCAAATATTGCATGAAACACTGGCTGGGAGGTGGTCTTATATGCCATTTGTCACCTACACAAGAGTAAAACACATACATACTGTATACCAAGGCGTTTTTTTAAAATCACATGCTACTTGAATTTGCAATTTTCACAATTTTAAGAGAAATTCACAAATTTCAGTCATTCTGTGAAATGCTAAAAGGGGCGTGACAGCATATGAATTGAAATACTTCCACAACACTGGTCGACTCAAATCTTCGCAAAAAACTAAATGGGTAAAGTGCATAAAAACAAAAGCTCGCAGAAAAAAATTCCCTGGTAAACAGTAATAGCACAAGGGTAAAACATAAAGCAGATCAATGGAGAGTTGCATGGCAGATACAACAAGTATATAAATATCATAGTGTTTTGTTTTGCTCCGGGATCTTCAAGACTTTATTTTTTTCACGTCCTGCATATGATTGTATGGCTCGGTGGCAACAGTTTGTGGATATCACGGGTGGGGGCACAGGGGGAGGGGGGTTTTGAGAGAGAGAGAGGGGAGG